GGGGGGCGCGCGCAGCGGGGGGAGTGTTAAAGCATAGAGCATGCCGAGTCTCTGTAGCTTGGAAGGTTAGTGCAAACAACGTTAATACTGCTAAAAAAAAGTGTTTTATTTCAGAAGTGAAAATATCCTCAATTTAGTTCCATTATAGAAAAAGTATCTAAGTTACCCTTCCGAATGCTTTTTGCCCTTTTAGACAGGTACAGTAGAAAAAACCCACCCTTTTTAAGCATAGAAATGTGATTAATCATCCCTTTATCACTAGGAAGCTTTTTAAATGTTTTCATTTCACATAGTATTTCACCCTTATAAGCAGTTGAAATAAATAACATCTTATTTTATCAAAATTTGATTTATATCTTATGTAAATGAAGTGCAAAAATATATTCTTTTTATTTTACAAAATATCTGTAGAGTGTCAAATGAAACTGATTCTCATTATTCATGGTAATTAGGTTCTATAAAGCGATTACAAATATTAAATTAACAACAGGTCATTGCTCCCAGGGGAAATACAGGATTAGAGTCCTGCAAGCCTCTGGTCACAGCATTTTCATTAACCGATCAACTCATAAACTTGTTTTATGTTTGTTTGTTGTTGTCCTGTTAGGGGCGATTGAATCAACTTTGACTTATGGTAGCCTTCTATATAACAGTATGAAACACTACCTAATCCGGTGCCATCCACATGCTTCAGTTTAAAGAGGTCTTATCTTAACATCTATTGTTGTTCCATTACTGTGGAACTTGTAAGCAGTGGCAGTGCATGTGTCTCATTGCTGAGTGAGGGCTATCTGTGGTTGTTAATTGCCTTGGAGTCAGCCCTGACTCACAGCAACCCTATGTACAACAGACGAAATGCCACCCCATCGTGCACCGTGCTCACAGTTATGATGATGTGTGAGCAAATAGTTGCAGCCCTCTTGTTAAGGGTCTTCTTCATGCTCCTTGTCTTCCTATTTCTATTCCAAGCGTGATGTCCTTTTCCAGGGACTGGCCTCTCCTGACAACATGTCCAAAGCATGTGGGAAGCTTATCTATCACGCATAAGGCACATCACAGCTTTCTTGCACATGAGAACATTTAAGACAACACTTAAGCACCACACTTGGTGGGCCATTTTAAACAACCAAGTAGCCTACAAAAAGCACCCAAAAATATGAAAAACATAACACAAAAGAGACCATAAAAAAGCAAACCTACTTTCCCTCTTAAGGCTGCCACAGAGGCTAGCCCGTTGCTTTGCTCGGCCTCCGCTGGAGAGTGCGCATTGGGGACCTCCACAATGTCGTCAGTGCTGCGTGTGTGCATGGAGCGCATCAAGTGATACGAGTATCGATGAGAGTGCTCGAAATAAGTTTTATAAAAACGTTGAGATAAATTTGCAAATATGGGATCCACAAATGAGGTTGACGGCCTCTATTTGGATATGCGTATGGGGTTGTTTGTCTTTATGTTGAGTTGTTTTTAAAATGTATTCAAAGACTAAAGTCTAATTTGCCTAGTTTGTCTTTTGTTGCTTGTGCTTTTGGTGTCGTACGTAGGAATTCATCATCAACCGAAACTAGGTCTCGAGCCTTTCCCCGCCTGTGTTTCCTCTGAGAGTTGTAAGCTTTCAGATCTTGTGTTTGCATTCGCTGATCCATTTTGAATTCATGTTTGTATATGATATATGAGTCCAACATCACTCATGTTCATGTGGCCACAACCTAATTGTCCCTAAACTATTTACTTAAAATATTCAGTTTTTAACCTTTCGATGTCCTTATATTTAAAGTTAGTATTTTATAGATAATATGGTTGGGCCCTTTGTTTGTTTTTTAATTGTTGTTTTTCCTGAAAGCACTCATAATCTCTGTCTTTTCTTGGTGTATTTAAGCTGTTCGTATTTACTGTGATGATTGATATGCATGAATTTGTGTGTACCAGAATTATAACTGTTTCCTAGTCATCCTTGTTTCTCTTCTACACTTTATCTACCTCAATGAGCATTACATATGACTCTATTTTCTCTCCTCTCTTAACACACACATTATATGTCTAATTACATGCTTTTTTCATTTTTATGGTAGTTGCCCTAGAGTTGGCAGTGTATACTGATCACCAGCCTAAGGTGGCTTGAAAATAATACTGTGCATCACATCACAGGCAGAGCGTCTCTCCTCCATCTATTATTACATCACACACTTCTCCTCTTCCGAAGGTGTAATCACCTAGTTCATTGTTGCTTCCATGATTTTGAATAGACAGCTCTGTGTTAGATTGAGAATGATAAAAAGAAAACACATGCTTTCATCTAGGAGCCTTGTGGCACAACACTTTAAGTGTGCTCGCAGAGAGATTACAGCCAGGAGCAGCTGGGACCACTGGAGTGGACATGGACTCTCCTGCACCCACAACGACAGCGGGCATCTGTAACGCTCTTCCTTTCTTGATGTAGATCCAAGTTTCTGACCTATGTCATTTTCCTTCTCTGAAGAACTTTTTCTTTTTATAAACATTTCTTGCAAGGCTGATCTGCTGATGACAAACTGCCTCAATTTTGTTTGAGAAAGTGTTTTTTTCTCCTCCATTTATGATGGATCATTTCACTGGAGACGAAATTCCAGGTTGGTGTTTTTTTCTTTCCACACTGTCAATACGTCACTCCAATCTCTTCTTGCTTGCATGGTCTCTGACAACAAGTCTGACGTATGTTTCTAGTTCCTACGGAGGTAAAACTCAACCCACCCACCCACCTCTGTTTCTTCCCAGGGCTTTTCCTTTGTCTTTGGTTTTCTACAGTCTGATTCCGAGGTGCTGGATGTCCGGGTTTTGGTATTGACCTTACATGATGTACTCCCGCTTCCTGGGTCTGTGATTGGTGTCTGTTATTTTTACTTCAGCTCTTTCTTTTGTTACTTTATCACTTCTTTTAATGTTTCCACCACATGCATAGTTATGCATTTGTAACTGTGCCGTTTCTGTCCCATGCTTGTCATGCTCACTGCTGTTTACATTTCAAAATCAAGCTCCCTTCTTCCTTTCTCTGCTTCGTCCTATCTGATGAGGAGACTATCAAAGGCATTCTTCATCTCTATTACTCATCTTTCAGTTTTTAACATTTTATATGGATTCTTTATTAGTATTCCCTTCTCACTGTTTACATTAGCCATCTGTTCTTGCATGTTATCCATTAGAATCTTGAACATATTAATCATACAAGGATTAGTCAAAGAATATTGCTTAAAAAATATTGCTGTAAAATCATAGAAACCTTTGTCAAACAAAATATCAACCTGTGAGGCTATTGTTTCTATGCATAGCCTCCTTCTAGGTCTATTCACACCTGATGGTGGTATTTCCATCTCTCTAACCCTGCCCTGGTGGCTTAGTGGTTATGCCCTGCCCTGTGATCAGCAGTTCGGAAGCGCCAGTGGCTCTCTGGGCGGAAGACAGGGCGTTCTATGCCCGTGGATAGTCACAGGCAGTTCTTCCCTGCCCTGCAGGGTCCAGATGAGTCCCTACCGACTCGGTTGGTGGCAGTCAGCTTGGTGTTTGAGAGAGCTCTTCTCTGAAGAATTCTATTCTCTGACTTTTTATCGTGCCAAACAGCAATGTTAGCATCCCCAAGGGACTCAAATTGCATTCGTTTGAACAATCTTTGAGTTTGGGGAACCAAAAGAAGCCCGAAAAGACAGGTATGTAACTGGGTGAAATAAGGTTTCCCAATGAAATTCTCATAGGACAGCCCTTGCTACCCTTGAAGAATGAGCATATGCATGATCCTGATGGAGAAAACAAAACACCTGTTGCAAATTTCATTTTTCTCACTATTGCAGTTTTCAATTGTCTTAAAATTTCTTCCTGATAATCCCCCACGGTCATCCTCGGTCCTTCAAGAAAAGTTCTCAAGCTTCCTGTGTTAGTCCAGGTAGACTAGAGACACAAATTCATAAACACGCATAGGTGCATGAAAAAGAGATTTATACACAAGAGCAATTAAACATTGAGAAAACATCCCAGTCCAGATCAGATAAAGTCCATAGTCTGATATTAGCCCATATGTCTGATACCAATCTATGAAGTCCTCTTCACACTCACG